TTTTGCCCCTTGCTAACTGCTGAACTCACTTTTCTCTTTAATAAGAGATAAAATAGGTTTACATTGGCAAACAAATGCTTTGGTTCTTTTAAATCGGAGATTTCCGTCAGGATACCTATGTAGAGGGTGCAGTGGGTTAAGCACTAAAATGCTAGTGGAAAGATTAAAAACGGTTCAAACCCACCAACAGCTTGTCGAGGCGGTGGTCAGGGGAGAGGTGGCTATGAGACAGTCTGCTTCCCTAAAGACTCATAGCTTTGGAAACCCTATAGAGCAGTTCAAGTTGGAATTAATTGCAGTGAGTTTCAGATGTTGAAGTGCAAAGATTCAGTCAGCATTTAATTGGTGGAGTGTACGTTGATATAACAGTGTCTAATCAACAATCAACTGTGGTTGGTTTTTTAATCATTTTATTGGGGGCTCGAACAATTCTTATCACAATCCATACATGCATCCATTGTGTCAAGCACATTTGTTCATTTGTTGCCATCATCATTCTGAAAACATTTGCTTTCTACTTTGAGCCCTTGCTATCAGCTCCTCTCAACTGTGTTTTTTTTCAATAAGACAAGTCTGGACACTTGGCTCCTAGAACCTGTCAAGGAGGGCTGACTCCAGGAACCCATGCATGTGCAGGGAGTTTCCCATCAACCCCTTCGCCTTACCAAGCCCTAACAGTGCTTCCCACAGTGCCCCTGCTCTCCCTGGACACGTGATGGGGGTGGATCTGCTCTATCAGAGGGAAGCTGAAGCGCAATTTAGGTGGCCAACTAGGGGACTCCGTCTCCCCAACTCCCGGGTTTGTGTAGTCTCGCGTTACGTGGGTAGTATCTTCTCGCGATAACTAGGTCGGGAGCCCTCCAGGTCCGCCTCCTGAAGAGAAGGAGGAGGCGGAGGGAGGAGGAGGAGGAGGCCCCGTCGCGGCCTCCGCCGCCGCCAACGGGGCTGTCCCTGTAGCTCCCGATGGAGTTTGAGGTCGTAGAGCCGCCGCCGAGCTCTGCCCCGGCGAGACGAGGCGCCTCCGTCGCCGAGCCGCGCCGTCGCGGGGCTCCCTGGAGCGGCCCTTAGCGACCCCGCCCGGGCCCTCTCAGGTAGGGCGGGGGCGGGCACAGCGCGGCTCGGGCCCCAGTCCGGGTCCCCGGTCTCCGGCCGTCGGGAGGGAGAGTGGTCTCATTCCGCGGCCCTGTCTCCCGTCGCTGCCGGTGATCCGATGGTCGGGGACGGAGGGCCGCCCCTGACACCCGGACGCGCGGGGAGCCCGGGGCTTGATGAGGCCCCTGGCCCTGGCAGGGCTTTGATGGCGGAGCGGGCAGCGCAAATGGCCACCTCCCTTCGACAGTGGTGGACAGGATGCCTCTGACCCCTAAAGACCCCTCTCAAGCAAAAGCCAGGTTTCTCGTTTCCGTACACCATTTAATAAGAGGGGCGCTTGGAGGAGGTCTTCCGGCGCTCTTGTTTTTTTCTGCCCTGTAGCTTCTGGAGACCCCAGTGCAGGGTGGTGGAGGCGATCTGAGTGGTAAATAGGGACCCGGGGCAAACAATGCCCAGGGAAGGTTTACCCTCCCCAGAGGGAGATAACCCGAGCAGAGTGGCCGCACCGGGTCTGTGAAGGGGAGCAATGGCATGAAACAGAGCCAGGGAATTCTGCTATGGATTTCTTTCATTTTTCCTCCTTGGGGAGGTCTCCAGAGGAGTCCTCTTCCACCATCTTAGAAGAATGGTAGAAAGCATCTTTGTTTCTCAGAAAAACAGCTCTACTTTTCTCAGTCCTCGGCGTTCAGGAAGGGATGTGATGAGGGTAGCTGTTATTTCCCCCGCCCCACTCCCCGAAGGTTCACAGAAGATGAGTTGAAGATGCCCGCAGATAAAGCTTTGGCCCAAAAATAGTCTCAAGTAATCACTGACATAAGTAGATCTAATCCAGTGATTCTTAACCGGTTTCATTTATTTTTCTTAATCACCTAGGTTCTCTCCTTTTAATTACTACTTTTCCCTTTACCCCACTGTGATTATAATGACACTGTATCCAAAATAAAGTGGCTTGTCTTAAGCCATCTCCCCCCCCCCACACCGTTTATTATTAGTCATACTTGTATGTTGCAGTGGGAACTTCTGAATAGCCCGAGAGAGCTAATGTTAATACACCAAATTGATATAATTTTACCCAGAAGTAAAAAAGTGTTTTGTTAGTCTGTGACGCCTCATTATGATTTAATATACAGATTTAGTGAAGGCAATTTGAACCATTAAGAATAGGTCGTGGATGGATGCTCGTCTTATTGCCACCTTTTATTTTCTATCAAAGCTACACCAGTGTTCTCAATACACAACCTGTCCGTATGCTTTTAGCTTCAATTCTTGGAGAGTGAAATAAAGTTGAATGTATTTTGTTAAACAGCGGTTTTGTTTGTTTGTTTTCAGTAATTGCCATTTTTGTTGATTGGAAATTCATATTTTCTAAATGTTAGTTTGGAAAATTACTAAACAAAATGTTAGATGTGTATTCCAGGGTATTGGGGAAGAATAAGTGTTAAAATTCAATCAGTCTTCCATTCTTTGAGGACTGAATTGCAGTCATGTTCATTAGTGGATCCTTTAGCTATTGTGACTCTTAATACTTTCAATAAGCTGACATGTAAAAGGGCTCCTATGTTCTTTGTTCGTATATTTTCATTAATTCACTTTGCTTTTCTAATTGGCTGTATCTTCCACTTGGTGGGGGTGGGGGGAGTTCAGTAATAGAACTGTGTGGTATGAAATACCTAGGAAGGCTAAATAGATTTATATTCCAAACCAAAACTCAAACCCACTCTTGTCAAGTCCTTCCAACTTCTAGAGCCTAACAAGGTCATACTAAGTACTTACTGTTTTTGTTAGACTGGGTTGAAGTTTCACTTTCTGGTGATGAGAAAAGGAAGTGTGTGGTTAAGTAAGCCAGCTGAAATTCAAAATAAGTTGATGTTTTGCATCCAGTCTCAGGAATGCTATAAGTTGCATCTTTCTGATCATCAGAGTTTTCTGTTGTGACTTGAGGATCAGTCATCTTAAATACAGGTGCAACTCTGCAGTCCTAGCATGTGTGACAATGGAGCACTTGAAATGTGACTCATGTGACCTGAGTGAGATGGCTTCTAAGTGTTAAATATCCACCTAATTTTAAAGACTGTCAGAAGATTTAAAATATCATATCTATAGTTTATATTGATTACAAGTTGGAAAGATATTTTGGATAAATTGGGTTAAGTGAAATGAATTCTTAACATTAATTTTACTTGTTTCTTTTTTTTAATATGACTAACTCAAACATTTTAAATGACGTGTGGTTCACATTGTATTTCAGTTGGATAAGTGTTATTCTAGAGCATCACTGCTCTTCCCAGAAATAAATGAAATGAATAAAAGTAAACATGTGAAAACTAAAGACCTCTGGGATAGTGTCCTTTTAAAGTCAGAATTGTCAAAAGGCTGAGAGGATTTAGGAAATAGAAGGATAAAGGTGTCCAGTGGCCATTCTTTAGTAGCCACAAATGAGTAATTAGATGTTTTCTTGAAAATAAGTACTGTTCAAGTTTAGGGATCCCTAAAGAAGCAAAATGTTGGTTATATTATTTAAAATAGAAAGTTATCCCATTATTGCTATATTAGAAGGCTTGAAAGTTAAATCTCATGTAAAAACTGAATTCAACACTACAGTGGATTTCAAACGAGTCATGTATCTTTCTAAACTTTTTTTTCTCTCAGTCTTTTGATTCAGTTTGGACTTGAGTTTTATAGCTCATAATTTCTTATTATTTTTTAGCTTTGAACCTGTTTTTCCTAACCCACAAACCCATTGCTATCAAATTGATTCTGACTCACAGTGACCCTATATGACAAAATGTATCTTGTGTCCTGGTCTATACATAAAAAACATTGAAGCACTTCCAGTTAAACTGAAATATCTTTAATAATACAGTAATAATAACTTCAATATTTTGATGCTTGTCGCAAAATCTCTTTGTATTATGAACCATTGTGTGTGCCCCTCCGATATTTAACATAGTAGACTTTACAAGAGTTAACTATAGGTTGTATATAAGTCACACATTTGTAACTTCAGATTGCCTGTATCGAACACATCAATCACTTAAAAGCCTTCCAATGGTGAACAAGAATACAAATTAATTGACTTAATTAACATAACTGAGCCTTAAGTTTAGAACTGTTCACATTTTAAAAAACACAAAATTATAGAATAGTGTTGTCTTTTTTTTTTTTTTGCAGTAAAAGTGAAAAGGGTGTAAACTTCATTCCAGCATTTTAAAATCAAGTGCTCATGGTCCTGAATTTGCTGCATAATAGCATCGCACTCACTGCCATTGAGCCAGTTCAACTCATAGTGACCTCTGCAGGACAGAGGAGAGCTGCTCCTATGAATTCTGAGCCTGTAATTCTTTACAGGAACAAAAAAAGGATGAGTTTCTCCTCATGTATATTACACTCTCAGCCCACAGGGGCACCCTGACTCAGTTGTATAGGGTCACTTTGAGTTAGAATCAGCCCCATGACAGGGAGTTTGGTTTGGGTTTTGTTTTTCTTGATGCACCTGGCTGGCTCAATCCTAATATGTAACCCACTTCTTTCATAATATCATAGTGGACTAATAACAAATGAAAGTGCGAATGTTGATTCAATTTGTACTTACTTAAGCAATTTGCATCATATGAAAGATGCATTATGATTGAACTATTGAATTGTGTGATAAGTGGATTAAATGCCAATAAAACTTTTTTCTTAACGCATTAGCTTTCATAGCCTGAAAAGTACTTGTGTTAGTCTGGGTACTAACACAGTACTTGAATAAAATTTTGTTTAAGGCCTGTATATAACTAGTGTTTCTTAGGCTTTATCTTTCAATCCCTCCTTAAATTTTAGCAACTAGTAACTGAAATTAATGAACTAATTTTAAATGTTTTTATTAGGTTGACTGTGCAGTGGGTACATTTTGGACCCACTAGCTGCTCTGCAGAAGATGAGGCTTTCTGCTCTCATGGAGATCTGACAGCCTTTGAAACCCTAGGGACCAGTTCTGTGTACCCTGTATTATTGTATGAGTCACATGGATGCGATGGCAGTAGGTTTGGTCTTGGTCTAGAGCTGTGTGCTTTTTAATCCACTTTTTCAATTTGAAATGTCTTGGGAATATCTTTTAAGATGAATACCTGCTTCATTATTAACTAAATATTTTATTAGCAATTTAGACTTTGCAGAGTCAAATAAGTCACTTTAAAGAGTATTACTATAAAGCTAGAAGTTTTACAAATTGATATATCTTCTTAGCTGCCCATGGTTCATTTAGATACTTTAAAAAAAAATTAGAAAGACTATCGGTTTTTTTCTAGATGTAAAAATATTTTCTAGTAGAAGTTTCCAAAGTGTTTTTTTAAAAGAAATAACTGTCCAGTTTTGTCAACACTAGTTAAATGTTTTAGTGGACTCTATAAAGCTTCTTCCATGATCTCGATAAAATCTGTTTTTTAGGGTTGCTATGAGTCAGAATCAATTCAATGGCAGAGAATATTTTTTAATCCTAATTAAGGGGTCTAGAATTTATATTTGAAAGCTATTAATTCAATTTCTAGTAGAAATTAATCTTATAGGTTTTAATTATGTTAAAGCTATATATTTTTATATCCCAAAACATGGGTTATTATAACATGAAGCTATCAAGTATACTCTGGAATAGTTTGAAACTTTAAAACTGTATACTCAAAAAGCATACCAACTCTGGGACAGAATAGAACTGCCCCAGAAGATTCCTAAGGCTAGAAGTCTTTTATCAAAGTAGACTGCCCAGTGTTTCTCCTATGGAGTGCCCTTCTGTCTTTGAGTGCCTGATGAGTTCGAACTGTCAACCTTTTGATTCGCATCTGAGCACTTCACCCAGCATGCCACCACAACTCACCCAAAATTGTGTAGATCAAATCCACTGATTCAGATGGTGAAAATATGATTGATTAGAACTTGAGTGGTTTTAACCTTCCCTCCAGTTTAGTTTAATGTAAATTAATTTAAGATATTAGAAAACTCAATAAGAAAAGCATATTTACTACTGTCCTCTTATTACCCAGTCACCTGTGAAATACTCTGGCCCACTGGATTAGCTTTTCCAAACGGGTGCAATTAGAAAAAAATAATATGCAGTGTCTTGATTTGATTGTTGGAGTTACTAAATAGGGCTTTCATAGTAGATCTTAGGATGAAATTTATTCTTCCTCAAAGGCCTTTTTTGTATTATTCTGCAACTTAGAAAAGTGGACATTTAACACACTAGTTTGTTGTAGTATTCACATGCTTAGTGTTTATCTCTAAAGACTTTAGAAGCAAACAAACTGGTTTTCAGATTGATAGGATTCATAGGTGTAGCAATGTGAGTGTGGAAGGTATAAACTAAATTATAACTTGTAATGTTTGGCTAGTTTAAATATAAAGATATTGGATATTTTGCATAAGAGTTAATTGCTTAAGAAAAAATACAGGATACTTTTTCCTGAAAAATTACTTGTTAGCAAATTATTTTCTAATCTTTTTATAAAACTATAAAAGCTAACAGAATTCTTCATTTGAATGCTGAGTTAATGGGGAATGCTTTTGATTACATACTTTTCTCTGAATCTGAGCATATATGGTTTTAAACAGCACTTTCAGTAATACTGGTGGTCCCATGAGCTAAGTGTTGGAATGCTAATTGCTAGGCTAGCGGTCAAACTCACTAGCTGCTCCATGGGGGGGAAATGAGGCAGCCTGCTTCCTTAAAAATTTGCAGCCTAGGAAACTTTGAAGCAGTCCTCTTCTGTCTTACAATGTTGCTGTGTCTGAATTAACTGCTCTGAGTTTTTAATATACTAGAGGTTTTAATTACCTCTGAGAACAAAGAATTGACCATTTAATATTGAGTTTTCTTGTTGTTCACCAGAAAACTTTTTGTCGGGCTTACGTACGTTTTGAGTCGGAAGAGATGAAAACTCTGTATTTGTTAAATATACAGTTTTCTAGTTAACGGTCAAAACCTTTTTATATTAGACAACAGGACAGTCATGTTAACACACCTCAAACACAGCACCGCTGGTCTTTCAGTGAAGGCTTGCTGCGTGCTCCATTGCTGAGCAGCTTTCATTGGAGTTTGCAGATGGAAACAGAGGAGGGAAAAAAGCTTGGCAATCTACATCAGAAAATCAGCCAATAAAAACTCCGTGGGTCACAACGATTCGATCCTATGTGCATGGGGACTCCGAATCAGGGGCGATCTAGATGGTAGCTAATAGCAACAGTCTTGATATTAAACCTTGTATTTTACTAAAAAGTGTGGAACATTTTATTCGTAGAGATAAGAGAAGAAATTCACTCAGGCATTTCCCCCCTGCATTTTTTGTTTGCTCTCTTTTAATCATGTTCATATATAATTTTTTAAAACTATAGTTAGCATATATAGAAATTTATATTTTGCTTTTCTTACAAACTTAAAATTATGAATCTTTTATTGTATAACTTTCTCATAGGACCTTCTTCTTAGTAATGTATAGGTCCCCACTCTCTGAAAGTAGAATGTTCCATTGAAACCATTTATAAGTGGGAAAGGCGTTAAAGAAAAATTACCATTAATTTATATAGGACTTTATTTTTCAGTTTTCTGACTTAAAAATTAACCTACAGCATACCAAATAACACCTGAAACCTAAAATAACCGCAACATAACGTGTTCAGAGTAATGGTGTGTGATGCCGGGATGCTGATTGGGGGTTCCTGGGAAAGGAACACTGGCGACCCCCCTCTGGCTTCTCCTGGGCTGCAGAATAAACACTGACCATGAGTTTCACTTCTCACGTTCTTTTGTAAATGTGAAAATCCTCTTTAGGTTTCTTTACCAAAAACAGGTACTATCTTGACACATGGAATTCAGAACAGATAAAACTCTCAGGAACAGTAATGGGAGTAGCGAGGGTAGGGGATTGGTGGGGGTGGCGGGGAGAAAGGGGGAACCCATCACAAGGTTGGATATATAGCCCACCCCCCAAGGCGACGAATAACAGAAATGTGGGTAAAGGGAGACAATGTAAGGCACAAAATAACAATAATATATAATTGATCAAGGATTCACAAGGGGGGGAGGGGGAGCCCAGACCACCAAGGACTCAAGTAGAAAGAAAATGTTTTGGAAATGTTGATGGCAACATAAGTACAAGTGTGCTTATTTAATCCACAATTGAATGATGGATTGTCATAAGATTTGTAAGAACCTCCCAATTAAATGATTAATAAAAATATAAATACTTGAGTATAAGCCGACCCAAATAATCAGCTGAGGCACCTAATTTTACCACAAAAACTGTATGAAAAATGTGCTGGAAGGGAGGGAGGGGGAAAAATGAGGAGCCGATACCAGTAAGGGCTCAAGTAGAAAGCAAATGTTTTGAGAATGATGAGGGAAACAAATGTACAAAAGTACTTGACACAATGGATCTATGTGTGGATAAGAGTTCTATAAGCCCCCAATAAAATGATTTAATTATTATTATTTTATTTATTTTAAACATTTTATTAGGGGCTCATACAACTGTTATCGCAATCGGTACACACATCAATTGTGTAAAGCGCACTTGTACATCATTCTCAAAACATTTTCTCTCCACTTAAACCCCCGACATTAGGTCCTCATTTTTCCCCTCCCTCCCGATTTAATTATTTTTTTAATGTGCTGGAAAAACTCGGCTTATACACAGGTATATATGGTGATTAAAAAAACCAGGTACTAATAGGAGTTTGAAAGCAAAGTGGTGTTGAACAAATTTGTATTAATCCAGTGGGTTTCCTGGATTTTATTCTGACACTCTACCCCTGATCAGCACCATTCTTTGCTTCATCGTCTTTTTTTCACTCGTTAGCATTTCAAAACATGTAGCTCTATCATCAGAATCTTCCCTTACACATTGACTCTCAGTTCTCCATTAACCTCCTGCTCAGGTCAGACTTGAGATTTTCTCCTTCATGAAGCTGTCATATTGAATGTCTTATTGAACTTCATGAAGTTGTTATGAATGTCTATTCATTCACAAGGTTGAACATATTCCTGAGTAACTTGGTCATGGAGGTGGCAAAGCTGTTTTTTAACACATGACTGACTCACTGTAGTTCAGATCTACTAGTTCCAGAGTTAACTAACTTGTAGGCTATGTTTTAATGTGTTTTGGGTAGTAATCCAAGGGAAACCGGTGGTAGAAAAATCAAAAACAAGACAAAATCCAACAGTACAAGGTAGTTTGTCACTGAAAATGGAATATGGGAAGTTAATCTGTTTATGTAATGTGGTCTTTGAGAAAAATACTTGAAAACTACTGTATGGTCAACCAACACATATACATATGTATGTATGTATTTGTATATAGGCTTTCATTGGAGGGAACATTCTGGTGATATTGTTTGTAGACAAAATTGCACAAAATTATCTTAATAGATTTAAGAAATATATTCAAAGCAGCATATAGATTATTCAAATGTGTTTTAGATTCGGAAATAGTTAACATTGAAATGTTAATGATATATGGTTAATTCTTACTTCCAGCTTACAAAACACTACACAGCAAAATAATGATCTGCTAGACTGCTAACCGGAGCATCCAGCTTCCACAATGCCTGTGCAGGCAGCTCAATGGACAGAGTTTCTGTCCTGTCCAATCTGCTATAATGAGTTTGATGAGAATGTGCACAAACCCATCAGTTTAGGTTGCTCGCACACGGTTTGCAAGACCTGCCTGAATAAACTTCACCGGAAAGCTTGTCCTTTTGACCAGACTGCCATCAACACAGACATTGATGTACTTCCCGTCAATTTTGCACTTCTCCAGTTAGTTGGAGCCCAGGTAAGTTTCCAAGGTTTTAATGCATAATTATGACTGAACTTTGTTCATTGAGAGGTACAAAGTACATTTAGTGAAAAATCAATATCAATTCACTTCATTTTCTTTCTTTTTTTTTTTTTTAAACATTTTATTAGGGGCTCAGACAACTGTTAATCGCAATCCATACACACATCAATTGTGTAAAGCGCATTTGTACATCATTCTCAAAACATTTTCTCTCCACTTAAACCCCCGACATTAGGTCCTCATTTTTCCCCTCCCTCCCCACTCCCCCCTCCCTCATGAGCCCTTGATAGTTTATAAATTGGTATTTTGTCATATCTTGCCCTGTCCGACGTCTCCCTTCACCCACTTTTCTGTTGTCTGTCCCCCAGGGAGGAGGTCACATCTAGTTCCTTGTAATTCACTTCATTTTCATGACTAATACATGACCAATGCAAGATTTTCTTTAGTTATGTAAATACTTAAGCTAAACCATAATTCCCATTAGAGTTATGTGTTTTTCTGTGTGTGCATTTCAATCTTCTGGCCAAAATGTATGTTTAGAATTGGTTTTGGAATATAAGGAACATTTTTACACACAAAATTTCTATAGTTCGTAATGCAAAGAAACATGTCAATGTTTTATCCTATTTCAACCAGCCAAAAACTTCAGTGGAGGGTATTTTGTTCTTGACTTTTAGAATTATATTTTAAATGAGAACATAAAATTAACTTAGCATCTATATACAATAAAGCAATGCTGCAGCATGCGTAATACATGTTTATAATCAATTTACTAAATCAGGGAGGGCCTAAAATTTGTAGCTTACATTTATCTAGAACCTAGTTTGTGCATCTGTTATTACTAATCCTTACCATAGCCCTTCAGGTAGTTATTATCCCCATCTTACAGGTGAGGAAGAAGATGAAATTCTATACATCATGTACTACATATTAAAGTAAGAAAGTAAGGATTTTTCTGATTAATCGCTTATTAAAAATTTAAGAGAGTAGCAAGATATGGCAAAATAGTAATTTATAAATTATCAAGGGTTCATGAGGGAGCGGGGAAGGTGAGGAAAAAATGAGGAGCTGATGCCAGGGGCTTAAGTGGAGAGCAAATGCTTTGAGAATGATGAGGGCAATGAATGTACAAATGTGCTTTACACAATTGATGT